TACTAAAGCCAAAGAAGATACCCACACTTTCATCATGCATGTTCTTATTTTCTGAGAAAGCTACGGGAAGACCTAGGAGGAAGATAAGGGTTTCCTTACTTTAAAATGATGTATTTTTTATCTTTCAGAGACATCTATATAAACCTTATCAGATGGTAATATGTATAAACTCCATCAGAGGGTAAAAAAAAAAAAATGCCCAAAATAATGGGTTGCAATGTCATGTGGAGGGCAAAGGCCCATATGCCCAAAAGAGCCAAACCATTTATTATCACCAACCAGGTGACCAAAAGTACGCCCAGTACTCCACAATTATTTGGCAACCTGTCGCTATTACCACCAACCAGGTGATGAAATGTACAACCCGTACTCTCCTTCATGCCACCAACCAGGTGATCAAAAGTACGTCCAGTACTCCAAATTATACATGAGCATTACTCATGTCATTCGTACATAAACATTCATGAGCATTACCCATAACAATCATACATAAACATTCATGACCATCATTCATGTCAACATTCATAAGCATCACTCATGTTAACATTCATGAGCATCACTCATGACAACATCCATGAGCTTCACTCATGTCAATTAACATAAACATTCATGAGCATCATTCATGTCAAACAACTTCAAAAGCTTGATTTACAGAGCTCTAGCTTCAAAAGCTTCATTTACAAAAGCTCTAGCTTCAAAAGCTTCATTTACGGAGCTCTAGCTTCAAAAGCTTCGTTTACAAAAAGCTCTAGCTTCAAAAGCTTCATTTACAGAGCTCTAGCTTCGAAAACTTCATTTACAAAAGCTCTAGCTTCGAAAGCTTCATTTACAGAGCTCTAGCTTTAAAGCTTCACCCACAAAGCTTCAGTGCGGGGTATACAAATACCGCCTCCGAACAACCGCCACTTCGGCCCATACATGGATTCAATTTGAAGTCTCCAGCCAACAGACTCTATTGACCGAAGACTTGAGGGACTACATTATGTACCATATATTGGACCTCAACTGGGCCTCATAAAAAATACTTGGGGGACTTAACCCATTACTTATGTATTGAGGAGTGAGCCCTTATTCTATAAAAGGGATTCCCTCACTTTCATTAAAGAGCACCCATTGTTCATGTACTGAGGAGCGAGCCCTTATTTTATAAATGGGACTCCCTCACCACCATTAGAGAGCATCGTTGCCTGCTGAGCAACCGCTTCGCCGCGAGCATCACTCCTAACCCATCACTTATGTATTGAGGAGCGAACCCTTATTCTATAAAAGGGACTCCCTCACTTTCATTAGAGAGCACCCATTATTCATGTACTGAGGAGCGAGCCTTTATTTTATAAAAGGGACTCCATCACCACCATTAGAGAGCATCGCCGCCGACTGAGCAACCGCCTCGCCGCAAGCATCAACTCTAGCCCATCATTTATGTATTGAGGAACGAGCCCTTATTCTATAAAAGGGACTCCCTTACCATCATTAGAGAGCATCAACTCTAGCCCATCATTCATGTATTGAGGAGCGAGCCCTTATTCTATAAAAGGGACTCCCTCACCTTTAAACGCCGCAAGCCGAGCCAACCAAGGCAACATAAGCCACGAGCCGAGCAGCCTCGCAGCGTGTGCTACTTCTAGTTGAGCGTCATTTCAGATTGAGCACTGCCTCATATCGAGCATTAGTTCAAGACAGCATCTAGTTACTTCGGCCCACACATGGACTGAATTTCAAGTCTCCAGCCAAAAGACTCTCTTGACTGGAGACTTGGGGGACTACTGTTTATACCATATTTAAGGCCTCGTATTTAGACCTCGTATAAATACTCGGGGGACTTAAATGTAATTATGTAATAAAGGAAGGGGCAAACATGTAATTAGGGGAGGAACCCTTATTCTATAAAATGGCCTCCTCACCCTCACAAACCATAAGTCTCTCCTATGTAGAGCAAAGCTCTCACAATGTCTCCCTCACAAATGCTCTCAGATAAATACAATCAGTGTGGACGTAGCCCAAACCTTGGGGTGAACCACGATACATCTTGTGTCATTTACATTTCATGCAGATTCACGGTTGGATTTACGTTATTCCAAGACCTCCGGTTTTGTGCATCAACACAATGCATGAAACAAATATATATATTGACAAATATATGAACATATACAATATATATCGAAAGGAAAATATAAACATAGAGGGGTTCATGCATCATGGGGAATGTTTTCATGCTTTGTGGACATTTCAAATATCTTCTTTTATTTTAAGCGTATCTGATTAGCGGAAAACGAATAAGCCTTTGAATTTCGTGCTGATAACGTGTTGTAGGCCTATTTGATTGAACGATCTAGGGTTTAGAGAGAGAGGGGTTCGACAATATTGAGAGAGAAAAGAGATTGATTTAATTGTGAGGTGTGTTTGATTCACTCCATTGTACCTTTATTTATAGTAGTAAGAAGGGTAAAACCTTTCCCTTTAGGATTACAATATTTAATAGGTAATCTAATCCTAATAGGAATATAAGATATTTTCCCAAATATGACTGCAACAAGATAATCAAATATTACTCCCTATTTTATATTCTTAATCAATTAAGAGTTCTTGAATAGAGGTAAGCCAAATAAAACTCTCAAATGAATTAACCTCTACTCCAAAATTAATAACTAAAAAAATTAGTAAAATAAATGATGTTGCATCCTCAATTTCTTTCCAAATTTAGGTGTGATATCTTTTGAACCGTAATTTTCTTGGAAAAAAAAATATTGTTAAAAAAGAAAAAGAAAAAGTAAATTACATTGCATTTACATACTGTTAGTTCGTATATATTGGTTGCAAAAATGTTCCTACGTGCCCTAAATTTTTTAAATTCGAAAATTTTAATGAATTACAATTGATAGCCAAAAGACCCATTCCTTTCCAGCGATGCATATACGCCTAGCTGTTGTTGAAAATATTGGACCCAACAAAACACCCAGATCATACAAAACCTAACTTTACATTGGCATGTGGACTTGGTCTTCATATCATAAATTAATTAAACCTCAAATACAATATTCTATTTTTTAAATACAACAAAAAATAAAGTCCACACATTGTGGTATAAAATAAAATATTTAATATATATATAGATAGAAGAGAGCAGTTAGAAATGAAGTCCTGCGGGGCTTTTATTTTTATTTTTATTTTTTTAAATTACATTACTGGTCATGATTTTATTTTAAAATAAAAGATCAAATTGTTCTTTCATCATCCTTTGATTGACAAAGAGAGTTTTGCTACATGTATGTTATAAGAGGAAGATAATTCAAATCCCAGATATTTGATTGAATAAGAAGACCGTAACCACAAACAATCCACCACTTATTATTTTCAGTTTTTTGCTGTCAATATGATTGGGCTTTCTTTCTTTTTCTTTTTTTTTTTTTTTTGTAAACTTGTCCATTCATTTTTTTTTTTAACGTATTATGCCAACTAATTATTGATCATGCATGAAAGTGACTTGAGCTTTCGTTGGCCAAATTATTTTCCTTTGATTCATTTTATGGGGGCAAAAAAAGGCAACAACTCTAGGACCATTGTGTCAATGTGAAAAGCCAAAAGATTGGCTCTGCTTGCATGCCATGTAAAAAGATACACAAATTATACAAGAAATTATGTGCAAAAGGGATTAGGATATTTAAAATCTTCTTTTCTTAATGATACAGTTGATGTGGGACATTTCAACACGCCCCTTCACATGAGACCCAATTAGTGGGCCACATGTGAAAGATCCACACATCGACAACCACGTGGGGCCAAGAGACCCACCATCATTGCGCGAGGCCAAGGGGACCCACCCATCACGTGGCAGTACAGTACAGGTCCGCTCCCTGGCTCCAATACCATGTCGAATTATCAGATAGACGGGCCAAAGGCCCACTTCCAACAACACTGATATTGTCCCCAACTTGGTAATTACCACCTGCATAATCTGTTAGGTGTGAGATTTTATCGCAAAAAGCCTTAGTGTTAGTTGGAATGGAGTTATGATATTAAACTCTTATTTTCTTATTGATACGGTTGATGTAGGACATTTCAACACTTCTTAATATAATCTTTCAAAAAGTACTGATAAATTTTTGTTTTAGACATTAAACAAGAGAAATGAAAAACACACACCCTTTTTAGTCGTGTTTGAGAAGCTAAAAATTTGTGTGAAAATCAATCGTCAATAAACAAATCTATTATTAAAACTAACACATTAATAAAAACTCATGATCAATTAAGAAACACTCAAGTCAAATTAATAATAAAAGTAAAAACATAAAACACCTAAATTTACTATGTCAACTCCATCAAAAATCGTGTTGTAATATTTGTTAAATGCTTTACATGAACCGAATTGTTATCACTTCAGTCCAAGTAATTGAACGATCTCATTTATTTGAGGATTCACTTAAGATCACTATTATGAGTTATGGACTTATGAGAGAGAAATATTCCATATAATTTTCCCTCTTAGGCGATTTTCTGTTTATTTATTATTAAAGAAATTATTTATTGTATAATATATCTATGGGGTGCAAGAATATCGGGGACCCTGTTCAACTGGGGGCCTCTGCAATGGCTCCTATTGCTCTCCCTCAAAGTCGGCACTATCTCGTACTTATCACGTCCACAAATTGGTCAATATAATCACTATCGAATTGGCTAAGCTAATCTTGTTTTCTAAATTATATTGAGTACTTTTCCGATTCAATCTAGTGTACCTTTTTTTTTTAAAAAAAAAAATTGTATTTTCTAACGTTCTAATAAAATCGGAACTGTTTTATCTTGGAAAAGGTTATGCATATGTAGTAGTACTCGACCCACACTAACATTAATGTCCGTCCAACCCAACACACCGATATCGGTACCTCGCAAGTTAATGCTGTGTGGGAATTGGGATGGTGACGGTTTCAATTGTGAAAAGCTGATAAATAAATTAATCATAAATAATAATAATAATAATAATAATAAACTAAATCATATATCATGCGTTGCTTCTTTCGTGAACTCATTCTTCCCTTTATATAAGTGCTCATTTTATGTTCTGACAGCCATATATTGGCATGAAAAATGGAGAAGCTCGAGAACTCTACAATCTTCACCTCCTGCCTTTTTCTCTTCCTCCTTGCCACACCTTGCTTTTCCAAAGGTTTGAATCAAAAGAAAGTAGTTTCCGCACGTCCTTTTTCTCCGTACATTCTTGTTTATTTCTGTTTTTTGATTTGTTCAATCTAAATATCAGAAATCAACAAGATGTATAAACGGAGAAATGGGTGAGTGGAATCACTCTCCTAAATTAATTTGAATTGTGTGGTACAATGCTCATATGTAATTAAGTCTACTAATTTGCAAATTTTTTTTGGTGGTTTGTGTTTTAGTAGGTGAATCGGATTTGATGGATACTGAGGTTTATGAAATCGATTATAGAGGTCCGGAGACTCACTCATCAGTTCCATCACCTGGTCACTCTTACGGGAAGAAGTCTTTGCCTTTGATCCACAAAGAAAATGCCATGGCAACCCCAAAACCTAATAGCATTGAAGGTGCTAACATGGGAAGAAAGGTAAGAGCTCATGCACTTACATTGATTAGTTGGATTAGCTCTTTTAATTTTTATATCAAGTTCTTTTTGGGGTTCCGCAAGTGATATTTTAATTAATCTAAGATAAACTATAGAGATGAAGATTCAAATTTGGGTGAAAATTGAGAACACTGCTTTAGCCAACTTGACTGATACCTATTTTGCAGCACTTTTTAATTTAGGAAGTTTTAGGAATTAGGTTTATGGGAAAACATAAATATTGGGTCACTTTGATTTCACAAGCTCTTTATATACTTTTAAAGCTTTTGATAACTTAATTTGCATGATATTCTATGTTTTTATATAATGTTTTTGTTTTTTCTGGACTCTTATGTTGTAATTTGCTTTGCAGGTGAAGAAAGTACATGGATGAAGATACTGATCTGGACAGTGGGAGTAGTGATAGTTTTGATTCACAATTTGGTCCCTTTCAGTATAGATATCAATTCTGAATATGTATTAATATAAAGATAAATATATATAGCAATCTTTAATTTATTACATGTTTTTATTGCCTTGAGTAAATGAAGGGCTTCAAGATCTTATATATGTTCAGAACAATGAATATATATTATCCTTGTAATTATCATTAATCACGCCTAAGAATCAAAGAAGTCAATCTATAGTTTATCAAACATATGTACCGGACTAGAATTCCTTCACAAATTTAGCAGGTGGTTCTGAGAAACATTTTATTGCGATCGTTACACCGTCATACATAGATTTAAGGTGATAAACTATTACTAATTTCTGAAGCAACCCCTGCTGCTTGGTCCCGTTGATGGACTGGAAGGCACAACCTTACGGTAGTTGAATTCGGCAACTCATGTGAGGCTAGCGTGACATAGTTTATATTTAGTGGACCTTGCTAAGTTTACGTGGTGGTATCACAGTTTAGGGTTATGGTTTGAGAATGCATGTGGGATCGACATATATTATTAGATTTCTCTTATTTCCTGGGTTGGATGAACATTAATTTGCGTTACGGTTTGGTGGATATACTTGTAGGGCAATAGATGCATAATGCATGCGTTAAGACACATGTAATTTGGTAGCATGACTTGACATTGCATCTGCATGATAGTAACACATAATTAATTACTACGATTGGGCAGTTGGATGCCGCTTGGGAACCATTAGAGAGATTTTTCAATGTGATCGTCACACGGGGTGATATTTCACGTGTCGTTATATAAATGGTGAGATATGTGTGTTAAAAAGTTAATAACTTAAAAAATTAAATTTCTCACCACTTACATAAAAAAACATAATGTACCACCCGTGTTTCCGTCACAACTAAAAATTCCTCGAACCACAAGACTTGCAGCTAGTTCCTCCAAATTTAATGCTTCCCAATTTTCTCAACCTAGCTACTTAGAGCATCTTTAAAGGAGGAGAGTTTTTCAGCGTGTCAGCAAAATAGCCCAGTACACTATGCGTTTGTTGTACTGGACTAGCTTTAGAGATTAAGCTGGACTGGCTTAAACTAGACTAAGATGGATTAACTTAATGAAGTGTTTGGTACAGTGTCGGACTAAAAAGTAAGATAATTAACAAAACTTTAATATTATATTATTTAGGGGTGTGATATCCACACACCCCATTTTACTTCCACACACCTTTTTAATTTTTAATCATCAGATCGAATGAATTGAAGAAGATCAACGGACAGAAATTATTAAGGGGTGTGTGAGAAGTAAAATGGGGTGTGTGGATAGCACACCCCTATTATTTAACCAATATGTATTAATATTTTAATATTAATATATTTATTTATTCTTTTATAATTTTCATCCTCTCTCTTAACCTCTTTTTTTCTCCACTCATGGTCTTCCTGCCCTATCCCTCTTTTACTCTCCGTTTCTTTGTCCCACTTCACTCTCCCCACTCCCTCTTTTTTCTCCCTTTTCACTCAAATTACTTTGCTATGTTCTTCTCTTCTTCAAAGTATGAAACTCTGAATTTGTTTTTATATTTAAATTTCAGTTCTTTGAGATTACAACTCAGTTCTTGGTGTTGGATTAAATCCAAAGCAAATCCAGCTAGGTATTCCTTCTTGAAGCAAGAGGGAAATCTGGGCTGTGGGTTCGTTGGGTTTCATAGGAGGGAGAGAAATAAATTTGAAGCAAAGAGGAAGTTGGGTTCGTGAGACAAAGGAGATCGGCGAGACAGCAAGATTTGGTGATGGGATTGCGAGATGATGGAGATCAGCGAGACAGCAGGATTTGGTGATTGGATTTGGTGACGTATGCTTGTAGATCGCAAACGATGCAGATATTAGAAAGCCGGGATTAGCAATCCCATCATTTTCGGGGGTCCTAGCTAAAACGAGGTAGTGAAGCCTGTTGGAAGTATGCCCACAAAGCCACTCATTTGATGTAATAGCTTTTTGGAATACTTAATGTATTAAACTTTTATATGTTTAATGAAGGGCAAATCTTATTGTTAATCACTATTTATTGTATCACGTGTTTAAGCAATAAGAGAATCCAAGGAATGTATTTGTTCTAAGAGATAAGTGATCTAAGTAAGTTAGATTATCGAGACCTTTCTCTTATGTTCATTCCTAAAACGTTCCTAGCCATAGGATTGCCAATTGGGCATTGACAATCCGCTAAGGTTAGTATGTGTTGTGTTGACTCAAGCGTGAGTATGACTAGTCTCAAGTCATTTGGTGTTGGACACTAAGACAAACACATAGGTGCTCGAAAGAGTAATCGAGTACACTGAACTACGATCAAAAGAGAGTTCGAACATACATGTCATGTATGAACTCTAAAGTTGCAATATGCAAAGTAGTCCTTTGACCTGAGGCATCATCGATGTCTAATGGTTAGGTCCTTGATCTTTGATCCTGTCAATGGCATTCCTTTGGAGTGTCCACGGCATTGTTGGGGTCAAGCTATCTAATCATGTAGGCATATGATTGCACAACAAGGGATCTCTAACCTTCCATGGTGGAGGGAGAATACTCTAAGATATGATTCTAAAGTCTTTGGCCAAAGCAAATGAATATGACTTAGGAAGTTTGTTCCAAATCATATTCAAGGGAATCATATAGGAAAGTATCACATTGGATAGTAGACATCATACAAACTATCACTTAAACAATGTGATTAAGAGTATTGTATTAGAGAATGACCGTATTGCATTGTAGTTGTAACTGGATAGGTTCTCCAACCAATTCTACTTAGCTTGGGTAACCATGACATATTGCTAGGTGTCACTCATGGTTTGTGGAAGCCCAAATGATTAGGTAACACTAATCATTAAAGGGAGAATTGAAATGTGGTTTCAATTCACAAACGATAGTTAAGAGTAACATCGCCCACTGCCTCGCTAATTGGAACCTAATGGATCGTACACCGAGTAAGGATGTATGTGAAGAAATTATATGAAATGGATAAGCAATTAAATGGTTTAATTGAAGAATGGTCAAGATTGATTAATTAGTTAATTAATTTTACGAAAGGTTCGTATTGGGCTTATATGTTGGTTTTGGGTTTCGGGGCCCAAAAGCGTTTTGGTCCAAAAGGCCCATTATGTTTAAGTTGTATGACAACTAAAACAAAATGGGCAAATTAGCCCAATAACAAAGGATGGCCGGCCATTAGGGTGGATTGGCAAAGTTTGCTTAATTACAAGTTTGCCACTCACCAAAGAAAAGGTTATAAAAGCAACTTTATAACTATTTTCTCATTAGGGTTCTTCTTGTTGAATTGGGTGAAACATTTTCTCCATTTTCTTCTAAGGAGGCCGGCCACTAAGGGGAGGGACATCTAGCAATCTCTTCTTTCCTTAGTCATCCATATCATCTTCACAAGATACAACCTTGGTGAAGAGACTTTGAGACATCAAGCTTTTGGTGTTTTGGAGAACAAATCCTTTTTCCTCAAATCATCAAAGGAGCACTAAAGGGAGGAAAACACAAGGAGGATTCAAGGAGCTTGGAGGTGACTTGAAGGCCCTCCACTTGGGTGAATCCCTTGTGTAATCAAGGATGAGCTTCAAGGGTAAAGAATCACTAAATCTTTACTTCTCTTTAATGTTGTTAAAGAGTTTATTTTGATTCACCATATACTAGGTTTTGAAAGTCATGGGTTTTATGAATTGTTTTTGGATGCATGCCTACATTAAAGTGTTAATAGCTTGCATGTGTATTCAAATGTTCATACTTGTTCTTAGCTAGGCAAAATTTTTTCCTTCAAGTGGTATCAGAGCCTAGGCCTAGTGTATGGTGAATCCTTTTGGGTTTTGTGATGTTCATATTTTGTGATTTAAATGTTGTAAATGTTACAAGCTTTGTTCTTGCTTTTGAATATATAAATTTTGCTAGAAAATTTAGCATCTCAAATGTTGTAGATGTATTTCATTTAAGCATGAATATTGGAACTAAAATTTGGTGCCATGTGTTTTGGGAAATTCGGCCAAATCCTTAGGGTGACTTTTTGGGTTCATGTTTGTCTTGTTAAAATGGTTTTAAGGTGACTTTTGGAACCCCTAAGTACCCTAGGATATTAGCCCTCTTTTGAGAGGTGAAAAATTGAGTTTTGGTGAATGAAAACATCCATGGAACTATTATGAGTTTTCATGGTGTTCTTCATTGTTCTTGGTGTTCTTGCCAAGAACATAAAGTTTTGAAGTTTTGATTCAAAAGTTTTATGTTTATCATAAAGTTTTAGTATATAATTGATTTATTATTTGATGGGTGATGTTATTGGTGAGATGTGATGAAATGTTTTAATGTTTGTCATAAACTTTAAGTTTTTCTTACAAACCATCACCTTCACCTTTAACCTCACCTAATAAAATCAACTTGCAAAAACTTTTTAGAAATTTTTCAATTTTTCTTTAAATGGCCGGCCACCCCTAGTGGGGGTACTTTTGGGGCCTTTTGTGCAATTACATAAAGTTTTAGATACTTTTGTGTATTTTCATTTTGGCCCAAAAGTTTACGTTTTTACGTTAAGGCCCTAAAACTCTAAAGGACAAATTGTTTTGATCCTTTAATGATGTTTTACATTAATGAAATTTTGGGCTCTAGTTGAAATTACATGAAGTTGTGGACTTTTGTGTTTTTTCAAAGTGACCCCAAAAGTTTTTGTATTTGCATTATGGTCCAATTGTTGTGGTCATAGTTTCCTTTTGGCCCAAATAAAATGAGAACAAAATTGTTTTGTCTCTTTAATGAGAATTGGATTTTCATTTCATTTAGTTCCATTTAAATCAATTCTATGGATCCAAAAACCAATTGTTTAAAGTTGTTTTCTTAGTTAATATGATTGATTAAGAAAAGGGTGATTATGAACCAAAGGCCACGATAATTGAGCTATGTGATTGGCCGATATACATTATGAATGTTTGGGTTTTAGTAGTGTAGATTTGAATGTAATTTGATTAATTCAATTTGTTGTAAATGGACATAAGTCCATCATTTGATTTATGTTGTAAAAGGGCATAAGCCCTTCTTATTATTTCATGTATTCCTTTTTGTTTGAATGTATGCAAATGGAATAGTTGGGTCCAACGCCCAATAGGAAATAACGGTTTAATTAGATTAAACGCGTAACTAAAATCAACAACTATCTACCTT